ATAAGACAGCGAGTAGGATACCGTTCCGTTTATTACCATCAAATAAACGGCGGATTTTACAATACAAATCCCGTCGCGTACAGTGTGTTCTCCAACGGCGACTCACGACTATTCCGAGTCGTGATTTCTAGCCTGCCCCAGACCTGTCCCTATTTCGGTGTCCCTACCGAATTCGCGAATCCCCTCGCGGCGACATTCGCGATCCTAACAGGTCTCGTTGGAGACGAGCCTTTCCTTCCTCGGGAGTGTGCCCTCTGATGTCGGTAGCCACCTGAGGCATCCGTGTGTCCGCACCACTCCCGCTCAGCTATCTTCTCGCGCAAGATATTCTCTAAATAAGACCGCCCTTGCGGTACTTACCGAGAACTGGCTGTCCCATCAGTGCCGTACCAAATACAAATCGTGGTGGCCGTGTCCCTTCCGCCTATCCTCGTAGTGCCGCATCCCGGCTCTGCGAGGGTGTCCATCAAACACTCGGAATTTCATACACTCGGAATTTCACACACTCGGCCACGCACTGGCACTAGACCATACAACAAAAAACCCGGGAGCCATGGTTCCTTGCGAGAGATCCCGATAATCGCAATCCGCGATTATCCGATAATTCCGCTATCGCCCGAGAACGGAAGAAGGACTCATTTTTCGCGGTCCGCCGCACACCCGAGTCCTTACACACGGACTCCCCGCGAGACACTCTCTATCCTACCTACCGCTCTCCGCGGTAGGTCAAAAATCAAAACAATTCTCCTCTCCGGCGTCCTCCCCGCGGATCCGCAAACCGTAGCCAGTCAAAGTTTTCGGGGTACCGGCAGTGCATCCTGGCGGTTGAGCGCACCTTGCATGCGGGCTCTCAACCCAAAAGGGCCCCGTGCCTCCGCCACCAGTCCACTATTTTCCCCCGTTCCCTCCTCCCGAATCACGGACCAACGAACTCTTTGGAGATGGAGGCCGGAGGCACTGCCGTGCTGTCGGCAGCGCGCGGAGGTGCGGGGCTTTTGTAATGTGTCTTCCTGACGCCACGTTACAATACATATAAATAAATAAATATGCAATACTAGTTAATTAATCTCAGTTTTATCTACTTTCGCATACTAACAGTAGTTATGTTACAATAAAATTTACGAAGTTCTGAATAATTTGAAATTATTAATCTAGCACATCCCGATCCTGCACTATTATATTTTGTTTATCGCGAAAATAAAACTACAATACAAAAACGTTTTAACTATATGAACAAACTACAGGAAATTATTCCTGTAGATTTAGATATACTTCGATACTTCGATTTAGATATATAAACACGAATTTGGGTTTAATAAGCGTCATAAGCAATCATATGATCGTAACCTCAAAATCTAATAACGAGATAACGTGTTTTTTTTACAACTCGTAACTTCAAAACGATTACGCACAAGATTGCGATTAAATTACGAAAACCTATGACAATTTTTGTACTTTAATGGTATTTGCAAATAAGACATTTTTCTGCCAAAATACACACATTTTCTTTCACATATCAATTATCACTGCCGGCACCGAGGACGATCCAGTCATTTACATTTATTTTTCGCACCAGTTCAAACGTTCTAATTACTTTATTTGTAACCTACAAACGTTTTCGAATCGATTAAGTACCAATTAAGTAAACATTTATCATTAAGTACAATTTTTGCGGTCAACTTCCCGTGATCATATGATCGTCCCGCGTAAAATGCACCAATTACGTTTTTTGCTTATTTTATGAAAGAATGGAGGAAATGGGGGATTTTCAGGGAGGAAGACGGGCAAAGGAGAGGAGAAGAAAGCAATAAGAGAAGAAGAAGTAAAGGAGAAGGAGGAAGAAAGGAGAGAGAGGCATGAAAGAAGAGAAGAGATAAGAGTGATCTTCTGGAACGTGGCGGGAATAAGGAACAAGGACGAGGAGTTCTGAGAATATGTGGAGAAGTTTGAGGTGGTATGTATGACGGAGACATGGGTGGAAGAGAAGGAGTGAGAGAAAATGAAGAATGGGTTGCCAACGGAGTACAGATGGAGGTGCCAGGGGGCGAGGAGGGTGAAGAAAAAGGGGAGACCAATAGAGGGAATAATAACGGGCGTGCGAGAGGAGCTACAGGAAGAACAAACAGGAGAGGAAAGCGAGGGAATACAGGGGAGAAGGGTGTGGATTGGGGATGAGGAGTGGAGAATATGGGTCATATACAGAAAAGGAGAGGAGGAGGAAGTAGAGGAGAGTATACTGAGGAGGAGTATACTGAGGAGAGTAGAGGAAGAGGTGGAGGAAGGACAGGAAAAGCTATTACTGATTGGGTGAGACATGAATGCAAGAACGGGAAAGAGGGGAGGGAAAGCATGGATGGAGAAGAATGACAAAGAGAGTCGTGAGAGGAAATCGAAGGACAAGGTGGAGCATAAGGAAGGAGCAGAAATGCTACGTACCGCAGCGGAAAGAGGGTGAACGATTCTGAACGGGAATAAAAAGGGGTATGAAAAAGGATATTGGACCTACGAGAAAGCGGGCAGCAAGTCAGTATTAGACTACGCGATGGTAAACAGAGAGGCGTGGGAGAAAGTGCAGAGGTTTGAGGTAGGGTGTAGAGCAGATTCAGACCATCAGCCGATAATAACGACGATAAAAGAGGGGGCGGAAAGGAAGGAAGAAGAGGACAAAAAGATACGAGTGCAGGATTGGTCGGAGGAGGGCGTAGGAAAATATAAGGAAAGAGTAAGGAATATGGAGTGGCAAAGGGAAGGGGTACAAGAGGAATGGCAAGAGATGACAGAAAAAATAAGGGCAGCAACGAAATGGAAGGAAGTGAAAATCAGGAAGAGGAAAGTAGGATGGAGACCCTGGTTGGATAAACAGTGCAGGCCTAAGAAGAGGGAACTGGGAAGAGCAGTGAGGCGAAAGAGAGACAAAAAAATGAATGAAGAGCAATTTAAGGAAATAAGGAGAAGCTACAAGGAGTTACTTGAGAGGAAGAAAGAGCAAGCCAGGGAAAGAGAGGTGGAAGTAGTAAAGGCAATAAAGACCGAAAAAGAAGCGTGGGTTTACGTCAATAGAGAGAGGAAACAAAGAACGAAAGTAAACGAAGGGATAAGTTTGAAGGACTGGAAAATGCACTTTATGAAGTTATTAGGGGCAGAAGAAACGAAATGTGAGGATAGCGGAGCGGTGAGAACAGAGGAGGGGAACACAGGAATAAGGGGGATATCACAAGAAGAAGTGGACAAAGAAATAAAGAAAATGAAGATGAAGAAGGCAGCAGGAAGGGATGGAATGAGAAACGAGGTGTGGAAGCACGGGGGACAAATAGTGAATGAGAAGATTACAAGGTTGGTTAGGAAGGTGTGGAACGGAGAAGTATACCCGGAGGAGTGGTGGGAAGGTGTGATAACCCCGATACACAAGAAAGACAGCTGGGAAGAGGTGAAAAATTACAGAGGAGTGACGCTATCGAGTACCGGGTATAAGGTATACGCAAGTATTCTCAACGACAGAATAATGGAGGACGGAGAGGGGAAGGGGTATGGGGAGACATACAAGCAGGGTTTAGGAGAGGGAAAGGAACAATGGACAACGTATGCATAGCGAAGCATATAATAGGGAGAAGACTGGAAAAAGGAAGGAAAGTATTCGGTTTGTTTGTGGACTTGAGGGCGGCGTTCGACAACATGGATAGAGGAAAATTATGGAAGGCAATGAGGAAGAGGGGAATTAAGGAGGGACTGATAGAGAGGGCGAGAGAGACATACAAGGAGACGAGGTGCAGAGTAAGAGTGGGACAGGAGGAATCGGAGGAGTTCTGGACGACCAAAGGAGTAAGGCAAGGATGCCCATTGAGCCCCACGTTGTTTAACATCTATATGGCGGACTTGGGAGAAGAAATGAGCAAAGGAGTGGGGGGAGTAAAAATAGAAAACCGTAGGATAATGACGCTAAAATATGCTAGTCCTGCTAGCGGAAGGAGAGGAGGCAATGGAGGAGATGATGAAGAGACTGGAAAGATTCCTAAAAGAGAAGAGAATGGAGATGAATACGGGAAAAACGAAGATGGTCTTCAGAAGAGGTGGAAGAAGGAAAAGGAGGCAGTGGAGATGGAAGAAAGGACAAGTAGAGAAAGTAGACGAGATAAAGTATCTAGGCTACGTAATGAGGAGAGACAACAGGAATCGGAAGCACGTAAAAAAGAGGGTGAGGAAGGCGTAGATAGCGATGAGAACGGTGTGGGGAATTGGGGAGAGAAAGTTCAAGACGGACGTGGAATGGAGGATGAGGTTGTTCGACGCGGTGATAGGAGGAATAATCTCGTACGGGGCAGAACTGTGGGGCTGGAAAGAGTGGAAGGAGGTGGATAAGCTAGAGGAGAAATATATGAGATGGTTCTTAGGAGTGGACAGGAATATACCGGGATACATAGTCCGAGAAGAGGTGAAGATGTAACATAGAAGCGGGAAGCTGGCAGGGAGAGCGATAAGGTGGGAGGAGATGTGGAAAGGGGAGGGAAACATAATACTAAGGGAATGCTGAGAAGAAAGAAAGAGAGATGAGGAAGAGCACCTAATAACGGAAGAGAACGAGCAAAAGAGGAAATTTATGGACAGTGTCGGAACGAATGAAAGAAAAGTGGAGAGCTGGATGGAAGGAGGAGAAAGCTGGGGGGAAAGACTGGGAGAGAAGGCTGAAGAGCGGTGGAGAATGGAAGCGGAGGAGAAAATACGGGAATGAAGGTATAATACACGTAAGAGGTATAGGAAAATAAAAACGGAGGAAGTACCAACATACATAAGGGAAGGGAAGAGGAAAGGGAAGGGATGGATAAGGACGATTGCAAGGGTCAGGTGCGGATGTGAGGAGAGGGCGAATAGCTACTGGCTAGAGGGAACGGAGATAGGGTGCAGGCTGTGTGAAGACAGGATTGATATAATAGAGCATGCGGCGACGGAATGTGAGGGAATGTGGAGTTGGGAGGAGGAGATTGCAGAAATAGCTGGGGAGAATGGAGAAGGGTACGAATGGATACGAGAATGGATAGAAAGAAAAGAAGAAGCGGAAGGAAAGAGAGGGAAGGAAGCGGCTAGGATAAGTCTAGGATAAGTAGAATCAAGGAAATGTACAAAGGAAGTCATGTTGTTACGTCCGACACATCTGATTTCCGAGGAGGAAGTACGTGGAGGGCGAACTTACTTATTTTTGGGATTCTTGCCACCTTAAACTGCTTATGCACACCCAACTGCTTTCTGCTGCTTCTTTCGTTGGTACAGATCGATGATCAGGCTTGTTGTATGTATATTGTATGTATATGTGTTGATGGAAAATTTAGGTATTCAAGAAATGATTCTGAACAATGCCAATGTGTATTGGTTGATATGCAATATCTATTATATTATAAATGAATATACCGTGTTTACAATGATATGATACACCCAAAAATGGTCGGTTGGTGTCTGTGTTTTCGTGTATGGTGTTGTTTGTGTTGTTCGTGTTACAATGGTTGTATTGCAATCGTGTACGTGTAACTGATATCCTATTGTGTATACGATTAAGCGGTACGATCAAACATAACGGTAAATATGTATATGTATTGTGACGTTAAAATTTACGTCACAAGGTCCCGAGTGTAGAACTAGCGTGTTTTAAATACGGGACGCATTACCGTCCCTCAGGGGAGTCGCGAAAGGTACCGGCCAAGAACTCCAGGGTCCAAGATTGTATTAGAATTACATAAGATTAATTATTTTTGTTCCGTACAACTATTTCATGCGTTTCATATCCGGCCACCACCATCATCAACGTCTCGCCGAGGGAGTAAAGAGCAGCCACGCCTAGACAGACCATCAGTCGCAGCCTCGCTCGAAGGAAGTAGCCGCCAGTCCCGCGAGGGAACGTGGAGACGCACTACGTCACCAGGCGCCTCCACCCCGTAGCTGACGGCTCCCGAATCCAGTGGGAAGCCGAGACAGCATAAGACATCGCACTGGACCATACCGATCTCGCATTACCGCCGGTACGGACGTCCCGCGAAGGGAACGCCACCAGTACCGAAGAGGATGGAAGCCTCTGGAAGCTGTCCAGATGCGAGGGGTCGCTACCCTCTACCACCTATCCGTCCCGACAGGGGTCCGGACGAGAATCAACTTCGGACGAAGTATCCGGACGACCCTAGCTACGGCAACGAGTTGTGACATCCCGAAGAGTCCCGAGTCCCGCGAACAGGATCCGTCGCGAGGACTAGGCTTAAGAATTAACTAGCCGAACCGTCCTCCAGAATATAGAATCGTATCGTTTACAAGGAGGCTCCGGTTATAGACGTTATATCGTTCCGCGTCCTTCTCGTAGGATTAAGTTGATAGAAACTATCGATACAATTATCATAAGACGAATTTGAGTCCAGTGGCATGTTTTGAAATTAGTGCGGGGGCCTACAATTGGCGAGTACCTTCGACGATGATGATTGGCCCAGGAGGGCCCGGCGGGGATGAGAGAGCTAGCGCTGGCCCCGAGTCGCGAAGAACTCCCGAAGATCGTCATTCTCTATTAGTTTGCCGTCTTAGCCGGTGTTCTCGCTTGAAGAGTTGTACCGTGCAAGCCTTTTAGTATCGTTTACGGTAAGCGTCTCGTCGTCGAGAGGACGAAATCTTTTCCGTCGGCCTCTGGAAGCTGTCCAGATGCGAGGGGTCGCTACCCTCTACCACCTATCCGTCCCGACAGGGGTCCGGACGAGAATCAACTTCGGACGAAGTATCCGGACGACCCTAGCTACGGCAACGAGTTGTGACATCCCGAAGAGTCCCGAGTCCCGCGAACAGGATCCGTCGCGAGGACTAGGCTTAAGAATTAACTAGCCGAACCGTCCTCCAGAATATAGAATCGTATCGTTTACAAGGAGGCTCCGGTTATAGACGTTATATCGTTCCGCGTCCTTCTCGTAGGATTAAGTTGATAGAAACTATCGATACAATTATCATAAGACGAATTTGAGTCCAGTGGCATGTTTTGAAATTAGTGCGGGGGCCTACAATTGGCGAGTACCTTCGACGATGATGATTGGCCCAGGAGGGCCCGGCGGGGATGAGAGAGCTAGCGCTGGCCCCGAGTCGCGAAGAACTCCCGAAGATCGTCATTCTCTATTAGTTTGCCGTCTTAGCCGGTGTTCTCGCTTGAAGAGTTGTACCGTGCAAGCCTTTTAGTATCGTTTACGGTAAGCGTCTCGTCGTCGAGAGGACGAAATCTTTTCCGTCGGTGTAACTACCGTTTAATTGCTAACTTGTATCTCGTTATTACTTTCCTCCCGGTTTCGGCCTAGGAGAAGATCGCGTAACGTACAGTAGGAAAAGATTCCGTGCCTACCGCTTGAACTGCCTATTTATTATAATTTATTTTCTATTGTATATTTCGGCTATCGTATTACTCTTGGTGACCCTGGAGAATCGTAGAGAATCTGTGTATCACGCTTCCCGTGATAGACTCGTAGAACGTAGAAATAAGTAGCAAGGCATATTGTTGAAGAGCCTACCGTATTAAATAAGATATTGATATTCTCTACTCATAATTATCATTTCTGTGAATCTGTAAATATCTTTCTTCTTGTCTCTAGAGTTTCGTATATTAATATTGTACATTATTTATTCTGTGTGAATCCGTATTTTCCATATACTTTATGTTTCATAATTCTTGTTAATTCCGCCACTCGAACCGATCCGTGCCGTTATTCGCCAGAATCGTGTGTTTAGCAACTACGTCTCAGGGCGTAGATAGAGTCGACCTTCGTACATGTAACTCAGTATCGGCAACGGATTAATTCTTGGTAGCTAACGTTTAATATCGTATCTTGTCGTTTATCCACGCGTCCCTTAAAGAATCCCGTATCGCGTGGCTTACATATTATTGATATCGAAATTACCATTTCATTTTGTTACTTTGTTATCATTGTTGATTCTTATAAGTCCTAAAATAAAGGGCTAATTGTTATTTTTGTTACTGGTTAATTGGAAGTTCTCGATCTTTATTCAGCGTACCATCTATAAGATCCCCGCCCCTCTACTATCTCGTTGCGATCTAGCTAGCCTGGTTAGTTTGCTTCTTTCCCTGGGAATCTTCCTATGCAGTCTCGTGGCACAAAGGTATGCCTGGCGCCCAAGAGCATTTAGTATTCCGAATCCCTAGATCTCGGGGAAAAGTAAGGAGCATCGTAATTTGTGACGATATCGTTCCGTCTGTCGTGAAATAACGTCACAATATACAGTAATGCGCAATTTGGGAAAAGTAAGGAGCATCATAATTTGTGACGATATCGTTCCGTCTGTCGTGAAATAACGTCACAGTATATATGTTGTGGTATAATAATACGATAATGAACAAGCGATTATAATAATGTGTTGGACTCACCAGTGAAGGCAAGAGAGAGATATTCTAGATGGTTTGGGACGAGTCCCCGGAAATAGTATGTAATCCAAAATTTAGAAGATGGTCCTTATCCTGGCCGCTAAAGTAGGCACTGACACTAGTGTAGTGGTTGTTATACACAAGGACACTGAGTTCAAAAGGGGTAAAACTTGTCGTGATTCTCGATTGGTATTTGCTACTCGGCCCAAAGGCGAGGAAGACAAGATAGGCCCTAAGGTATCTTGACTAACACAATGGATTGGCACTAAGTTCGCCTTTGACTCAAGGTTTTAATGAAAAGTAAAGTGTGACTAGTTTTGATGAGACTCCTAAGCAGACTGACTAATTCACTCCTCGATTCTAGCTCGAGGAGTGTTAGGGTCCAGAGAAGGGATGGAAAACTGCTGATTCGGTGCATTCTGGAATCGTGGGACCAGCGCGGATTGCTCTTGGTTCCCGCGATCTTGCCACGTTATCGGCACGTACTTTGGAGTTCATGGTCCTAAAGTTCTCTAATTCGTGCAAACTTATGTTACTCTCTCTCTTACATTCACTGGTAGGTTCCCATGGGAACATTGCGTACAGGGACCGTTCTCATGGACTTACAATTCTATGGTTATTACTATCCTATTTCTAGCTTATACTAAGGAGGAGCGGGTGATGCCCAGTTGTGCACAAACCCAATTGGACACAAATGCGAATTTCTGCCTCTTGAGCGATATTTCATCATTAATTCAACTATATTGTAAGTTATCTTTATCTGACAGAGCCTTTTCAAGGATTTAAAGCTCTCTTCAGTCGGACTCGCTCGCTTGGCTCGCTCGCCGACGATATACTTATTTACTAACCTACCCAGTCTCCGAAATTTGAACATTCCACCCTATTCTAACCTTACCTAACTAAACCTAGCGTAAACTTATGTTGAACTACATACGATATACTATAATAAGACATCGTTCGTACCTAATTCTAT